TTCTTCTTCTTCTTCTTCTTCTTCTTCTTCTTCTTCTTCTTCTTCTTCTTCTTCTTCTTCTTCTTCTTCTTCTTCTTCTTCTTCTTCTTCTTCATCATCATGTAGTGTACTAGGTCTGAAACAGACGATGGAGATCATGGTTCGTCACTCATTCCTCTGCTCGGACACACTGAAAAAACTCAATACTGTCCTACCTAGTCCTTCTTCATCAGGACCTGTCTACAAGATTTCTAATATGCTGTACTTATTGGTCTTCCAAGTACTGTATTTGGTTCTCTCTGTGTGTTTGTGGGTGTGTGTGTGTGTGTGTGTGTGTGTGTGTGTGTGTGTGTGTGTGTGTGTGAGTGTGTGTGTGTGCGAGTGTATTTACCATGGCCAGTGAATTTCTCTTTGTAGAGATCAATAAAATGTTATCTTATCTCTGTGGTTTGCCTTTCAGTTTTCCCAAAGTGTCTTCTTATTTAACTCATTTTACTGTCTGTTGACTATGAGGTCAAGGCTTAAGGAGACAGGAGACAAGAATGGTGGGTACCGTGCATTTTTCTATATTATCTGTTTTGGTCATGTGGATATGTTGAATTTTACTGCCCTTGTCAAGCCAATAGGCCCCGCACAGTAGCCTACTGTGTGTGCTTTGTCAAGGTGAGCCCACAATGATAATTGTGTATGCACTAATGGCACACTCACACACATACACACACACACACAAACAAACACACGCACGCGCACACACACATGCATGCATACAGTATAGGCCTTTAATGTATGCTTCCGCTTAGACCTCTTGTAGAAGTTGGAAATAACTTTATATAATATTTAAAAACTGCCTGCAAACTAGGGTAAAATAAATGATACAAAATAAAGTAAACAAGCCAGCATGGTAGAAATAAAGCAGAACATTGGGTAGTTTATTCATGCATCTCAACGTCAAAGAAACGCAGACAGCAAGGAGCAAAAGGTGCTGTAGTTTGTATTATAATTATAATGACACCATTCAAATTTTATGGCATACATATTATTATAAAAGCGTAAATAAATAAATACTACATTGCACATGTACTTTTATGGCACCTATATTTCTGTCTGCAAAATCATGTTCCTTCCGGTCACTAAATGGCCGTTATGGCGTTAACGGTAACGTGCTTTCTTTTTTCAACTAAAACCGTGTCTTGATCTAAAAGGTGACATACATTAAAATGCAACAAGATGGTGACATTTTAAAAAATGAAATAACTTAAAGTTATGAAATGATACACAAATCACCCAACTTTATGCAAATGCTGCTCTTGAGATTTTAGCACTTCTGTTTCACTTTTGAAATTACGCTAGGGCCCACGTAATGTAAGCCAAAATTACCCCCTGACTCTTATATAATTACTTGAAAATTAATTGACTTAATAAAAGACAAACCTTTCAACACCGTAACTTTTGAAGACCTTCTTGGGTTGTGGTCATGGGGGTAAATGAGCTCAAAAAATGAAAACGATTGGAGGGTGAGTTTGGTTCCACCAAAGATAGTAAATAACAAGATGGGCCACTCAGCCAAAAAAGTGTCCGCAGGAAGTATGCTCTTTGCTTTAGATGGCGCTGCAGT